ATTGTTTCCTGAAATATGAAACGTTCGAAATTATACAAGTATTTAATATTAGGTCTTTGCAAACTTAAATGTACATGAAAGACTGACCATGGAAGGCAGGCGCTTAAATTTTTCGTATTCTTAAATAGCCTAATTTTTTTATGTTTTTAATGGGTTCAAACAGACTGAGTAGATTATTTCTCAGTTAGAGCAGGATGAATATTCTTTATTGAAGGAAATAATATTGCTTTTTGCAAATACACATCACCGTATCAACGCTACTATTTTGTTACGTTTTGTTCCAAAAATGTTGCATGTCTCTGGGGAGTTGCTTAATTGGTATGTCTTATGGAGTTGTATGGTTTGATTGTGTTTCATATAATTCTCAGTTTACTCCATGAACTTGCCAAGATTAAGAAACGGCAAAAGAGTTTGGGTGTTTTTAACAAGATTTCAGAACGTTGCAGAAGTTAGAAGAGCTTCACAATTCCGTTGTGACAGCATGCCCTAATTCAGAACTACGAACGATCCAATGACGATCCTTCGCGATGCAGTGGTCTCATGAAATAAAGAAACGTATTCGTGCTAGGAACACACGCAAATTTCGGACGAATGAATCTTGCTTGTATTTTGTAGATATAATAATACTTTGTTTCATAATAAACAATTTGTCAAATGTCATTTATTTACTGGTAATAGTGCATGTTTCAGTCGGGCAAATCTTGATTAATATTTGATACGCCGATTTTTGCATATTTCAGACACATCCAGAAATATCCTCCCGAATTTAAAGATTAATATCTCCGTGAATTTTTAAGTGAAATACAACTGTAATATATCAAAGTCTAAGTTAGTCCTTCCTCTATTTGATGCAATTTATTTCTCTTTAAAAGCTATTCTTGTTTAGATGTTATTACGAATCAAACAGGAGTACTTTTTTCTGGGCCACCCGGTATATAGTGTCATTCCAGCATGTGGATCTGCTTATGCTCGAGCTGTGTCAGATCACGATACAGCGTTTACAGAGTTAAGCGAGAGAGGCTTCGGAGGCAGCTTATTAGGTGAAAGGTTTTCAGCAATCAACGGGGACTTGATCACAGAGATTTTCAACCGAAAGGCAAAGGGCACTACTGGTCCCTTCCGATCAGGTTATAGTACTGATTTCACCACTGTAAATACCTGTGTCAAGACATCACACATCCATCAATCTGTGTACGTCTGCCGTTCACAAAGAATCCACAGCAAGTGCTAAAGAACTTCATGTACAACACGTGAGTAAGCTTAAACAAAAGCTTGAAGATTATCAGGTCGACTCATTCGGCTCAGGAGCAGTTCGACACAACCACTGGTAAAGAGTTAGATCATTAAGTAGTCACCGACATGTTGCGGTCTCCTGATATCTAAAGCGAAAAGTACAAACAGTTTGTAGAAGATCGCTTAGTTAAACAAACTGTTGATTTCTTCCAGCCAATTAAAAAACTGAAACTGCGGACGGGCCTGTCAAAACAAGGCAAGCAGCCGAGAAAAGTTTCAGCACTTAAAGAAGTTCGCCAAGCTTTTGGAGACCTGCTGAGCAAATTGATATCGAAAAAGCCATGCAGTATTCACTTACTTCTATTTCACTTGCTATTGCAACGCCTGAAGGAACTTTGCGACCAGTGGCGTAGCCAACCCGACAATTTAGTCCCGCTATGCAAATGCAAAATTATTATCATTATTCATTTCTATAGAAATTGATTGTTTTCACAGTCAATACTTCCAAAACATTTCGAAAATATTTCCATAGCGGGACTAAATCGTCCGGCTGGCTACGCTACTCTTTGCGACCAGCACCGAAACAATTACTTCGTAATTTCATTATTGAGCTATCAAGAGCAGCATCGCATGAGTGTCCACAAAATGCAAGATGGTTGATTGATGGGATGGCAGCTATGCGATCCATCAAACCAAAACCGACATTGATCGAGAAATGATGAAAGGTAATGAGTGGTTGGCATTTTTTCATAACATCGAGAATAAGCTAGACAGATTTGATCAAATTGGCTGCGAATTCCTTCAAGTGTGAAGATGGAAAGTAGCAGTTTTCTGTTCCTCTCATATTTACCAAAAAAGGAGAGACGTGATTACAGAGGACGAAGAAGAAATGTCACTCTTCAAAAGTAACCATGAAGAGGCAGATACTCGCTTAATCTTCATGCGTGTCTTCAAGATACGAATGTGGTGGTCGTTGCAAAGGATACAGATGTATTCTGTTCTGATGGTGTATGAATATTGTGTACAAAAAACAGCACACAAATGGTATATGAAGATTGACCATGACAAGTATGTTGACATCGGTAAGGTAGCAGACTACTTGGGAGAGGAGATCGCCACAAAGCTACCAGATATACACGCACTAGCTGGGTGTGATTCCATGCCCTCATTTTTCGGTACGGGAAAAGTTAGATTAATCAAGAAACTGATGAAACAAAGTAGCAGTTTGACAAGTGTACTGTAATGTGAAGAAAGTTGTGCAAACGATAGCATATAATGGAAAAAAATGAAACGCTAGTGGAAACAAGAGTGAGACTGTCCAAAGCATTGAAAACCAAGTCGTCTGAGTCAATTCCACCCGACCCTGACTCCCTCTGCCAAGCAATTTATCAAATTCACTGTCAACTTTACTATTGGTTAAACTTCAACAAGCAGATAGTAGACCATATTCCTTTTGAAGAATATGGTTGGACATATAATGCTGAAACCATACGTGCTGTTCCTGTTCGGTTCACAGGTATAATATTAGACATGTCTGAAATATATTGCATTTAAATTTTTATGACAAAACAATTTCTTATGCAATTGTTAGTATTTATACTTAATGATAAATATCTTGTTTAGGGTGACCAACAACCAACTCCAAGGTCTCTGATGTATCATGATAATAGTGATACACAGGACGACTCTGGCGAACCAGTCCCCAAACGATCTCGTTGTGACGAAGAAGACCATGGTGATGAAAGCAGTGATGATGACATGCACGACAAGGAGATGGAATATATATTTTTTGGAAATAGTGCTGATGAAGAGTCTGATCATGAAACTGACGAAGATAAATGGCTGCCTTAAGGTTCAGTATACCAAGCTTTTACATTACCGAATACATTACATTTAAGAGGCTGTCTCCGTAAAAACCTCCAGGTCAGTATGGGGCTCAAAAATAGATTTCTCTCATACTCTAGTATTTTGAAGATCTATCCTTGGGAACAACTAAAATCGATGTCATTTTACTCAAATTTCCTTTAAATTATTTTTGGGGGCGATTGATGTTCGATCGACTGGTAACCAACTTAATTGATACTCCGAATGAAGGCCAAATATCGACATATTTTCAGCGCTATTTTTTAAATCAAATTCATACCTAAATTTCAAAATTTTTGCTCAGAAATATAGACTTATCCTCCTATTTTCACGGGTGATATGACTTAGATCATTATTCTTTGGTATAAAATAGAAAACAGCGCAGTTATTGACCCTCCTGAACGGATAAAGGATATCGTCTCAAAATATGTCAACTTCGAAAGCTTATTTCAAAATCGTGGCACTTGATTGGCACATGACTTTAACTTTTCTATAAACTACTAACATTAGTGAACACAAATCGCCAATAATATCTTTCTGCTCTACCATTTGACAAAAATGACAAGCGCGCAAACTTTGTAAAATTTGAAAATGTGTCGAAATCGAGCATACTTTATCGGTAAACATAATTCTTGATATTAACAAACAAAACCACCTTACACTATACTGAATGAAGCTTGATTATGTAAATATATGTCTTTCATCATTATTCTTTGGTTTTGCACTCGAATGAAATTGTTTGACTGTACAGTTTGGCTTCAAGGATAGTCATTCAATGCCAGTGTGTCCAGTGTGTTCAAATTCTGCGCGCCTCAATGCCATGACGGCATCAGTCCTGATTGTGACATACGAACTTCGCTCTGTTCGCTTTGTTTACCTCCTGTAAATAAAATGTCTCAAAGAAATTGCAAAACTCAGAATTAGTCATACTACAGACATAACTTTCATTGGTTTGTTTACCTTTTAAACTGTTATATAAAGTTTCGTTTTATAGAATGTACGAATTAATCTCGGGGAAAACTCCTAACCGAAAGAAATGTACTCGCTGAGCGTAAACATGTCAATCAAATGACGATGAAATGTTTCGTTGCTCTCTGATTTCCCTTTCTTTGTATTGAATTAAATAGTAGTCTTAGACAGTATTGCACGAGGTTTTTGTGTTTACAATAATGGTGTTCTACTTCTACTGCAGCCGCAATTTGTGATCATGCAACGTTAAGGCCCTGTCACACTATTGCGCATGAGAGAAACGTATGAGAACCGTATGAAAATTAATGAAATCATTTTCATACGCACAAAAATCCTTTGAAATGCCAGCGTATGAGTACCGTACATCTGGCGTACCTCTAGCGTATTCAGCGTGTGCCTAAAGTATGCTTATCTTATAAAGCATACGTCCAATACGCACAAAATTTTTGACCATGCTTAAAAAAAAAATTCTGCCTCAGCGTATGCCAGCGTATGCAACCGTATGCGACCGTGCTTGAAACGTATATAACCTATGCCTAGCGTACCCCTAGCGTATGTCAGCGTATACCGGCGTATGAGTGATATTTTTCATAAGCTGGCATACGCTAGTACGATACGCAATAGTGTGACAGGGCCTTAAACGATTTCGACAGACAGTAGATTTTATGTTGACAGATGAGAATGACGGTAAACAATAATGTAGAAATGTTCCTTTTCTACTTCTGAGTGTGGAAAATTCCGAGACACAGTAGACTGCTCTTCGAAGTTGCTGGCGTGTAAGAATGACATTAGTTATCACTTGCAAATTTGCCACCCTTTAAAGCTTGTCGGAAAGAAGAATATAAATTAGTTATAATTTTCAGAACCTTTCTAATTGTTACTGAAAAAAGGAATAACATTGATTAAATAACTGAGACGTTCAAATGGGTTACAGCTGTTTGCGCTGAATTGTTTTGTATTATATCAAAATATTCGCATATTTTTATACAATAAGAAATAATGTAAATTCTTGAAGCATAGCCTTGAGCAAAGTGACCCAGGGTCGGCCTGAAAAAGTTGATTTTTGACTCACGGATGTTGCGAAGCAACATCTGTGAGTCTTTGTGGTTTTCTTGAGTGGGGCAGTTAAACAATGGGAAATGACCAGCCTGCTTTGCGCGCAGTGTTTGCCTGCGAACGGGTCTTTTGGAACCGGAAATTGGGCTGGAGCACGCTTCACGTTCTTTTCAACTTTTGACTTTTTGACAAGCGTGTGCTAAATTAAAAGGTGAGTGTTAGTTGACTTAATTGTATCTGTTTTTCTACTTCACCCAACAGATCTGCTGTTAACACACTGATCTACCTTTTAGCTGAAATATTAACACTATTTTGTTCAATATATATACAAGTGTTCACATTTTCTGGTGCCTTTCGAGCGCCTCTGTCAGCTGTGTTTCAACACCGTTTCAACACCGTTTCCATAGTTTCTGTCGATTGAAAGAGTTTTTTGTTTACCAAATTTAATCATGTTATTTAAATTAATAATTCATGTTTTAGCTGTCACGGAATACAAAGGACATATTTGTCTTATTCGAAGCAACACGATACAAAATCTTTGTATTAAAGTCACGTTGCCGACTTGCCGTTGTATATTTCACATGACTGCGCTGGCACTGTAGCCTACACTGTAAATTAAAAAGGACTGAAACGACCCCAAAAATGGGGCCAAAACGGTGACCGCAAAATAGATCTTTTTTTGGGGTCAAAATGGCACCTATAACAATGCGGCCCCTAGGGGTGATTTGGCCCTTCCAGTGTAAGGACTGTTTCAGCTTTTAGTAGTAGCTGTTTTGGCAAAAGCAGGGGCTATTTCAACTTTCAATAGGGGCCAATTCAGAAAATTAGGGGGCTATTTTGGCATTTCGAGGAGTTAATTTGGCTCCCATTTGTGGTCATAATGAACCCCAAAAAGCGTTGATTTG